CAGGGGTGATGGCTTCAATTCCGTTGGCTTGTTGGCTCAGGTGGTACAGCACTGCTCCGGTATCCCAGGGGTGATGGCTTCAATTCCGTTGGCTTGTTAGCACAGGTGGTACAGCACTGCTCCGGTATCCCAGGGGTGATGGCTTCAATTCCGTTGGCTTGTTAGCACAGGTGGTACAGCACTGCTCCGGTATCCCAGGGGTGATGGCTTCAATTCCGTTGGCTTGTTAGCACAGGTGGTACAGCACTGCTCCGGTATCCCAGGGGTGATGGCTTCAATTCCGTAAGCTTGTTAGCACAGATGGTACAGCACTGCTCCGGTATCGCAGGGTTGATGGCTTCAATTCCGTTGGCTTGTTGGCTCAGGTGGTACAGCACTGCTCCGGTATCCCAGGGGTGATGGCTTCAATTCCGTAAGCTTATTAGCACAGGTGGTACAGCACTGCTCCGGTATCGCAGGGTTGATGGCTTCAATTCCGTGAGCTTGTTATCTCAGTGGGTAGAGCATTGCATCAGTATCGCAAAGGATTCAAATCCCGTACGAGCCTGATTTTTTTTCCAGGCCTTATTTCCACTACCTCATAAGTAGGGTTTATAACTGCGAGGATCGCTTTCAAACATTTCATGAAATCGCAGTACACATATATGATTTTCATATATTCAAAATTCATGTGAATAGTGCTATCCCTCAGTCAATAGTAGTTTTCTTAATATAGCTTTATACTCAATTTTATCAAAATTGAGTATAAATGTTGATTACTGGTATTTTCATCTTTGTGAGATTTCTAGTTAAAAAAACGTAATGACCCTGTTGTAAAAGATTTTAGGAAGCGAAAATAGTTAATTTCTCTGTTTTCTTGTTTTGGACACTTATTAAGATCGAATGGCTGTTTAGACACTCGAAAATTACAAATTATCTAAAAGGAAAATGTCTTTTTTTTCAGTTTTTTTGTTTTTAGACACTTTTAAAGATCAAATTTTAGTCTCGAAAATTTCAAATCATTGTTATCACTTGTTATTCTGAAGCTTGTGAGTTACACCTGTACAGCTGTAGCTAAACATTCTCGCACAGATGAACCATTAACAGACGCACAATAACGGTTTAACGTTAGTGTTCTTTTACTTATTTTATCATAGGAACCACTAATCCTCAAAAAGAATGGAATAAAAATAGGATTCCTTGGTTATTGTGATTCACCATCGGTACTCAAAAACTGCACCGAAATGAGAATGATGTTCAGCTCGGGTCCAGCCATATATACAGACGATGTTGCCATAAAAGACATCAAAAAGCTAAAGAAGGTCTACATCACTGCAGATGTGAACGAACCTTAATATAAAGGAATATATTGCTTAATTAAGATATGTAGTTTTTAGAAGTAGCTTAACACTGAACTTGAAACGATCTAAATTTCTTTACGAGATGTATAGCGAGACGGTTCCCTCCATCAAAGTAAATTGTCATTTCATGAGTTCCATGCATTCTCCAGTCGGCATCTGATGGTTAGAGTACTTTGAATGATTTCCCCTCAGTCACCAGTTTTTGTTAAGTCTTGACACGAGAGAATTATGGGACATAATTTTCTATTGGTCTTGATCGTGGAGTCGATTTGAGTTGTGTTTTTATTGTTCACTATTTCGGCAGAGAGTGTCACTTAAAAAATTTCTTATGTATTTTGTCAATGCTTTCGCAACAAATGAGTCAATCCTTACTTATATCTTGACT